AACCTGCTTTACGCAAATGACACAATCTTGCTTGCTCAAAGTGATGAACACTGGAAGCATTTACCATAGAATATCAGAGACTGCAGCCTTCAACATGGGTTATATCTCAACATGAAGAAAACAAAAATCCTTAACACTAGACCAATAGGCAACATCTTGACAGATGGAGAAAAGATTGAAGTTGTCAATGGATTCATTTTGCTTGGATGAACAATCAACACCTACGGAAGCAGCAGTCAAGAGATCAAAAGATGTATTACATTGAGGAAATCTGCTGTCAAGAATCTCTTCAAAGTTCTAAAGAGCAAGGATGTCAGTTTAAAGACTAAAGTGCACATGATCAAGCCACGGCTTTCAATTGCTTTTTGTTATCTGAAAGTTAGACAATAAATAAAGAAGATTGAAGAAAAATTTATGCCTTTGAATGTGATAGGTGAGGAGTACTGAATAGTACTGAATAGCTCAAGAAAAAAGAAATCTGTCTTGTCTGCGTGCAAGCAGAGTGCTCCTTTGAGACAAGGATTGTGAAATTTTATCTCAATTACTTTGGACATATTCTCAAGAATAACCAGTCTTTGGAGAAAGACATCATACTGCAAAAGGTGGAAGGTCAGAGAAAAAGAAAAACTCTCAACAAGTTAGACTGACATAGTGGCAGTAACCATGACTTGAGCATGAGAGAGATCATGAGGATGGCACTGGATAGGGCAAGATTCAGACGTGTTGTTCATAGGTCTGCTTTGAGTCATTGTTGACTTGAAGACACCTAACAACAATATGTAAAGTGAACAATTTCATGAAAGGGACAGCTATAAAATGTGTATCATGGAGACTTATCTACAGGGACATTTGTGCAGAATAGGAATTCTCAAAGTCAGAAGGTGGGCATAAAGAAGTAGATTATTCTGGATTGTCTTCCCTGCTAGGAGCAGATACAGTTTTCAGACGAGGAATCAGTGAAATATCTGTGAGCTGATCAAGTTTCAATTTAGAAAGGAAGTTATGCATAAGATTGTCAAAACTCATTGCCATCAGTTTGGAACAGTTTTATAGCGGACCAGCAGAAGGTTTGTAGAGCCTGATTGCCCATCTTTCTTCCTGCAGAGTCACTTGTGAATTTGAATCATGAGAGAGGGTCCTCTCCAGTCCTAGGGTAAAATCAAGTCTCAAGGAAGCCTGGAAGTAGGGTGTCAGAACTCTAATTGAAGCTCACAGACAACCTCTAAGTCATGAGGATACCCATTTTCACCTTCCTTCTATAAGCTTTTCTATACTTTAAACCCAGTCTTTAAAAAAAACAAACAAAATCTGTTTTTCAGGTCCCTGCAGGATCCTTCCCATTTCCTTCAACCCACCCCCTCTTTCTACCCACCAAACTGTACAAACTTGTGGTTTCACCCCTACCCATCCTCACCCCTCTTCTCCAACCCCTTCCTCCCTTGAATCTCCACACATTTTACTAGTTATTATTCTAATTTTACAATAATGGTCTTATGCAGTATTTATTCTTATGAGACTGAGTTAGGGTAATGATGGTTCAATGGTGATTAATTTCTATAAAACATAATGCATGGGAATGATTGTATGAAAAACAATGTGAAGGAAGAAAAGTGTGAAATACAATGTATCTGAACTTTGTATTTAAAAAACAAACCAAAATTTTGAGTGATATTTAAAATACTATGAAGATAAAGTAATTAAATGAAAGTTAATTTAAGGTTGGGAGGCATAGAACAGCTTGGGCTGTAGGTAAATTCAGACCACTGGTCTAGGCCTAGCTCTGCCACATACTACTTTTGTGAATTCAGGGACACTCTCAAGCTTTCTTAATCAGGTTCTTTATCTGTGAAGTGGTTTAGATAAGCCCTGCTTTTCAGAATTTTAAGTAAGTGCATAATGTATGTAAAATACTTGACAGTGTGTCTGACATACCTTAGGTCAATAGTGAATGACATTTATTGCTATCATTACCCTAACCCAACTCTTCCACCCTCAGTTATGTGACTTCTCGGAAACTTCTTGGACATTATTTGCATAAAACACAGTTTTCTGCACTGTTTACTCTGTGGTAAAAATGTGAGGCACATTCTAGTCTTTCTTCATGTGGTTTCTCTGTGGTTTACACATAATCATGAAAGAGAAGTTAATGACAGTCTTCCATTCTAGGCTTATGAGTCTCAACTTTGAGACACAGAGGCTATGCTCCTTGATTACAACTCCTACTACCTTATCTTGCCCAGTACCCAGCCTAACATTAAATTAGTTCACAAACAAAGAACAGTTTCCCAATGACCCAAACTACTATGTTTTATAGAATATACATTTGATGGGTTTTACCTGATCTCATGTCTCAGTCCTTTTAGTTGTCCATTAGGACACAGAGGGGATCCCACCAACTTCCTTTAAATCATTGTCGGTCCTAGAATCTAAAATCCTTTAAGTATGGTCTTGGTCTCAGTTATCTTATGTGGTGCTTTTCATTTGAGAAATAAACGAGGCAAAAGAAGAAGTTTAATTTATTAAAACTCCAGTCTATCAGTGCATAAACAAATATTAGTGTGTAAGGAAGAATTCAAGATACTAAAGAACTGAACAGAAGATTCCAAAAGGCAGCTCAGAATGGCAAAGCAGAATATTACAATGAAATGTGCGAGGAGCTAGAGTCGGAAAATCAAAAGGGCCGAATTCGTTCAGCATTTCTTAAGCTCAAGGAACTGAAGAACAAATTCAAACCTCAAGTTGTTATAACCAAGGATGCTTTAGGCAGAATAGTAAATGATCCAGGAAGTATTAAAAGAAGATGGAAGGAATATACTGAGTCACTCTATCAAAAGGAATGGGCAGACACAGAAGAATTTAATGAAATCACATATGAGCAAGGGCCTATGGTGATGAAGGAAGAAGTTCAAGCTGCTTTGAAGGAAATAGCAAAAAATATGGTCCCAGGAATAGATGGTATACCAATTGATGTATTTCAGCTAACAGATGCTGCCCTGTATGTGCTCACCAAGTTGTGCCAAGAAATCTGGAGAAGAAGAACTTGGCCAACTGACGGGAAGAGATCTATATTTGCTCCCATTCCAAAGAAAGGTGACCCAACAGAGTGTGGAAACTACAGAACAATATCATTGATTTCACATGCAAGCAAGATTCTACTGAAGACTATCCAAAAATGGCTGGAACAACACATCAGCAGAGAACTGCCAGAAGTCCAAGCTGGGTTTAGAAGGGGTCGTGGTACCAGGGATATTGTAGCTGATGTTAGAGAGATCTTAACTGAAAGCAGGGAACAGCAGAAGAATGTCTATCTGTGTTTCATTGATTATGCAAAGGTGTTTGACTGTGTGGACCATAATAAATTGCGGCTGACTCTGAGAAGAATGGGAATCCCAGAACATTTAATCGTGCTCATGCAAAACCTATACTTGGACCAAGAGTCAGTAGTCAGAACAGAGCAGGGCAACATTGCATGGTTCAAAATTGGAAAGGGCGTACGCCAGGGATGTGTCCTGTCTCCATAACTTTTCAACCTGTATTGCAGAGCAGATTATCAGGGAGACTGGGCTCTATGAGGAGAATTGTGGCGTCAGGATTGGTGGAAGATCTATTAACAATCTGCGTTACGCAGATGATATAACGTTGGTTGCTGACACTGAGGAGGACCTCATGCACTTGCTGCAGAGGGTCAAGGACTGCAGCCTTCAGTATGGACTGAGGCTCAATGTCAAAAAGACAAAGATTCTCACCACCGGAACAATTGGTAGCATAAGGATGGATAGTGAAGAGATTGAGATTGTTCACAGCTTCGGTTTGCTCGGCTCCACAGTCAACATTCTTGGCATCAGCAGCCAGGAAATAATAAAAAAAAAAAAGTATTGCAATGTTAAAGTCTGCTGTTAGGGACCTCTCTAAAGTGCTCAATAGCAACGGTGTCTCTCTGGAGACTGAGGTGTGCCTGATACAGCCCATGGTCTTTGCAATCACTTGTTATGCATCAGAGATCTGGACAATAACTAGGGAGGACAGAAGGGGAATTGATGCCTTTGAGCTGTGGTGCTGAAGAGTATTGAATGTACCATGGACTGCCAAGAAAACAAACAGATTCATTCTGGAGAGGGTTAAAGCAAGCTACTCCTTGGAGGCAAGTATTCTGGCGCTTCGTCTGACATACTTTGGACATGTTGCAAGGAGGGACAGATCCTTGGAGGGACATCATGCTTGGGAGGGTCAAGGGTCGGTACAAGAGGGGAAGACCCTCTATGAGATGAATTGATTCAGTGACTAGGGTAATCAGATGGGTGTGTCAGAGGCAGTGTGATTTGCAAAGGACAGAGCAGGGTTTAGGGCTGTTGTACATAGGGTCGCTATGAGTCGCAAATGACTCAATGGCACATAACAACAACAACAACAACAATCTTAATTTTACAAACCAGCAGACTGGTTAGGATACAGTAAATGAAGAATATACATCTTTTCAATTTAATCTCAATTTTGTCCCAGCTATCTCAAAACTTAGCTCTTTTGCATTTTCAGTGAAATACCTATTCCAAGACATTTTATCTTCTTACAGATTTTAAATGAGATCAATGGTTTCTAAATTTGTTTTTTAAAAATATCAAAGCTCTTACCATAAAACCTCATAAACACCAATAAATGTGTCACCAATTGTCATTTTTAAGTTAAGGTTATCAAACTAATCACATTCTATAATAAAATGAACAACATTAAAATATTGCCTCTCTTCAAAAGATATATCTCAAAATTTGCTATATAGAACTAAAACTCCCAAATCTTATATAATGTGATCCCTCAAGCTCCACCCTGAGCTTCCAGGAAAAGTGGACCATTTCCCTAAGGCCACACTGAGGGTCATAGGAACTCCAAGAATTGGCTCTGGTCATGTTCTGAGTCTGAGAGTAATATTAATCTTGGAAGAAAATATGCCTCTCTTTTTCACATCTCGCAAAGCCTCCTCAAAGCAAGATGAAAAAGTAGGAGAATCAGCATCTTAGCCAAAACCTCTGAGAATTTAACCTTATTAATCTCAGCATGGGCTCTTGGACCCCACCAGAATTCATCACGAGGAGGATCACTGAGTGCACCTTTTTGCAGTCTAGATACTTTTCTGACACCAAATCTTTCATTATTAACTTCTTGGTTTCCCCATAGAGGAAATGATTCTGACCAGCATGTATGTCCATCCTATTCAGTGCTTTCCAGTTATCTTCAGTGGCATGGTTGCCCTTCATGAAGATCCCTCCCAAGACAAAAATCAGGAAGCTGGTCTTGGGTATGCCTTCATTACCACTTTGCAGCCCATCATAGCTGAGACCCAGTTTATTGAGAAGAGTGTAGCCTTGAGCCACTTCCCACACATCAAGTCCAAAGACCAGAGCTATGCGCTCAGAAGCCATATGGAAGATTTCAAAAAAGTGATCTTTATACTCTCCAATCACCATCTCCAGTGTCTCTTCCTTGGTGATAACTTCCTTCATTTGATACTTGTGTAACAATTGTATCAGCATAGTCACCTTCTCATCTAGAGCCTCTCTAAGCACATTATCAGTGCCTGGCATGGGCGCCATGGCCTTTAAACTTTTCTCCTCTTGACTTCTGATGCCCTCATCTGGTTTGCCTGATGAGGTGACTGCAATGCCAGTGGATGTATCAACAACAGGAACCTCTTTTAGCAGACCAGAGAACAAGGAGGAGAGAGAGAAATCTTCAGAAGTTTCAGGAAACTGTGCTTCCTCCAGGCTTTCATCATACATGTAGTTTAGGCTTTCGGAATCATAAGACATTATCACTCTTGGTAACAGTGACAGGGATGTTCTCAGCAGGGCAAGCAATGGGGTCCACAACTAAGAAAATTAAAAAAAGATGTAAGCAGACTCAGCTTATACAGTCAACTATGAGGGGTGCGAACAATAGTTGCCTCCATGTGTCTTTTTCTCAAGAAAATAATCTCATCCCTCACAACCCTATAGTCCTGCTCAACCAGTAACATATGAATTTAGTAGAAATACAAAAGTTCCTGAGGATGAAGATGTCAACTCTGCTCAAATCTGCCAAATACTGACAATAGGGAGATAGGACTTGGATCTGTGCAATCTTCTCTATTTAGGAGTGAATGGGCAGCTCAGTTCTCACTGAGGGCCCTCATCTTGACTTCTGGAAGGATTTGGGCCTCTTCTTTTTTGTTTATCTAAGTCTTCTTCAGTCAGAAGATTTCAGACAAGGAAGCTGAGACATCATATACAAGGAAGCCAGGATAAAGCTTCTTAAGGCTAAGGCCCTGCTTTGTACATTCTCTCAGCCATTACTTGGCTCTTTACACAATATAGGAACCCTCTTATCTGCTAACAAAGTATTACTCTTCTCATATTAAAGACTTATCTCTGTGACTACTGTGAAACAAGTGGTAGGGTCTTGTGTTTCCATTCTGTCTTTGGGTAGATATCTTAAGTCTTCAGATAGCATTCTCGTTTTGAATACTATCTGGGACTAGATCCTCTGCCATTTGCAACTTGAAGTCATCTCATCCAATCAAGAACTCAACTCCCTGAGACACCCAAGAAGAAAGTAATGAGACAATTATCAGTAACCACAGAGCTTACAATAGCTTATCTTTAGGCAGGATCTGGGTTCTAAAGCTCTGTGAGGTCAGGTGATTGAAGCCTCAAAAATAATGAAAACTTGAGAGAGACAGAGAGAGAGAGAGTTAAAACACCTGGATGATTTGATTCCTTATTCTGTTTAACAGATGTCACCTCCCTTAGAGCAAAGTCCTCACCTTCCTCAGGATCTCTCGACAAGAAGCCCTGGGGCTTCCAGCACTGAGAGGTTGCATTCTGTGAAGTCTCCCTGTGTTCTAAGATAAGCACTGGAGTCACTCCTCTCTTAAGATCCTCAACTAGCCCCAGAACAGCCTCTTCAGGCCTGAGGCCATCAGACTCTGACTGAATTCTTATATCACAGACTATCGAGGCCCAAAAGTCTGTTGCTAGGTGCCTTTGAGTCGACTACGACTCATAGTGAAACTACAAACAGATGGGAATGCTACACTATCCTATGCCATCATCCGCATCATCTCCGATATTAGGTGTTCAGTTATGGCAGTTATTCTGGAGCCTCTCTGGGTTGCCTGGAAGGAGTGGAGGCTTTATAGTGCCCATTCACTTTTGAAATGGAAAGTCCCCTCAGTTTTTATTATCTTACCTTAAATCTGGAGAACGACCACTTGGCCAACTGACTGGAAGAGATCTGTATTTGTTCCCATCCTAAAGAAGGGTGACCCGACCGAGAGTGGAAACTACAGAACAATATCATTGATCTCACATGCAAGCAAGATTCTACTGAAGATTATCCAAAAATGACTGGAACAGCACATCCGCAGAGAACTGCCAGAAGTCCAGGCTGTGTTTAGAAGGGGTCGTGGTACTAGGGATATTGTAGCTAATGTTAGATGGATCTTAGCTGAAAGCAGGGAATACCAGAAGAATGTCTATCTGTGTTTCATTGATTATGCAAAGGCGTTTGACTGTGTGGATAATAACAAACTGTGGCTGACTCTGAGAAGAATGGAAATCCCAGAACATTTAACCGTGCTAATGCAAAACCTATAGTTGGACCAAGAGGCAGTTGTCAGAACAGAGCAGGGCAACACTGCATGGTTCAAAATTGGAAAGGGCGTACACCAGGGATGTGTCCTATCTCCATACCTTTTCAACCTGTATTGCAGAGCAGATTATCTGAGAGGCTGGGCTCTATGAAGAGAAGCGTGGCAATAGGATTGGTGGAAGATCTATCAACAATCTGCGTTATGCAGATGACACAACCCTGCTTGCTGAAACTGAGGAGGACCTCATGCACTTGCTGCAGAGGGTCAAGGACTGCAGCCTTCAGTATGGACTGAGGCTCAATGTCAAAAAGACAAAGATTCTCACCACCGGAACAATTGGTAGCATCAGGATGGATAGTGAAGAGATTGAGATTGTTCACAGCTTCAGTTTGCTCGGCTCCACAGGCACCAGCAGCCAGGAAATAAAAAAACGTATTGTGATGGGAAAGTCTGCTGTTAGGGACCTCTCTAAAGTACTCAAGAGCAAGGGTGTCTCTCTGGAGACTAAGGTGCGCCTGATACAGGCCATGGTCTTTGCAATCACTTGTTATGCATCAGATAGTTGGACAATGACTAGGGAGGATAGAAAGAGAATTGACGCCTTTGAGCTGTGGTGCTGGAGAAGAGTATTGAATGTACCATGGACTGCCAAGAAAACAAACAGACTCATCCTAGAGAGGGTTAAACCAGGCTACTCCTTGGAGGCAAGGATTCTGGGGCTTCGTCTGACATACTTTGGGCATGTTGCAAGGAGCGACAAGTCCTTGGAAAGGGACATCATTCTTGGTAGGGTGGAGGGACAGCGCAGTAGAGGAAGACCCTCTATGAGGTAACTAGGGTAATCGGGATGGGTGTGTCAGAGGCAATGCGATTGGCACAGGCTAGAGCAGGGTTTAGAGCTGTTGTACATAGGGTCGCTATGAGTCGCAAACAACTCGATGGCACATAACAACAACAACAACAACAACAAAAACAACCTTGACTCCTTTTGCGCACCAGAGACAACACTTCTTAGATAAACGCTTTTCTTCCTCCAGAGCCTGGTATAGAAGGTATAGTCAGGCATTTCCTGTAAGGTGGCTCTTCCCAGTAGCTTGCTGGAGGGGATGAAGCTCAATGTGGACGGTCACGGCTTTGCGGAATCTTCTGACATGATAACTCTCCCTCTGTTGTTAACCTTACTTGAACTCCTTACAGGAATTGGAGTCATACCCTCCAGTGACCTGAAAGGTCGCTTCTCAGAGCAAGGCTTGTAACTCGAAAACTTTGCAATATAGAAGTGAAGTGGATGTCTGCCTAGGACTTTTCAGGACTGGCAGCCATGATGTGACCCTAACCAGTGAACTCTTCTGACAACTTGAGGTGTGTGTCATTTTACATACCATGAGCTCTGGTGGCATAGTCCGTAGGGAGTTGCACTGATAAATTAAAAATGATACCTTTAGCGATTGGAATCCATCAGTTACTCAGGTGGAAAACGAACAGACTACTCCATTGTAATTTAGAGCTTTGATAATCCACTGGAATGTCAGCTAATAAGTCAGTTCCAACTCCACAGCACTGAGTTTGAGGTTTTATGGCTTTGGTTTTTTATATATATATAAGTGGGAAATGCCACTTCACTGAAAGTCTGTGCTCATTTGTTGAGTTGCAAACCTTATCTTGGTTTAGATTCCAGCAAGGTAGAAGGTAGAGAAACAATTGCAAAAGGCACAGTCTCAAGACAGGTCCTTGTGAAATTGCCTGTCAGAAAAAAAGCATGCTACCATAGTGGTTACTTTTTGAGGGGTTTATTGTTGTTGTTTCTTTAAATTGACAAAATCTAAGATTTTACTTTATCTTTTTAAAGATTTATTCATTGAAGGCTGTGCTCTTTTTAGGCTAACATCATTTAGGTCAAGGCAGTGATTTCTCTATCAGATGTTTTGATTTTTCTTGATCATATGCCACTTTCTGAAGTGATTTTGTGTCCACCATTTTTGGAGGAACAGCTGGAGATAGGATGATAGAATTTGCACAACCAACGATTTATTCATTACAAATACATTTTATAAGAAACACAAATACCGCTATACACATGGATTTCACCTGATGGTATACATAAGAATCAGATTGATTACATCTGTGGAAATAACCTATAGAGAGGCTCAATTCAGCTGTGAAAACTAGCCTGGGAATTGATTATGGAACAGACCACCAACTACTCATGTGCAAGTTTAAGCTGAAGCTAAGGAAAGTGAAGTAAAATCCACGGGAACCAAAATATGACCTTGAGTCTATCCCACCTGAATTTCAGAACCATCTCGGTAAGAGGTCTGAGGCCTTGAACATTGATTAATGACCAGATGAGTTATGGGAAGATATCAAGAATATCAACCAGAAAGAGCGCAAAAGGTTGTTGCAAAGACAGAGGAGGAAGACCAAAATGGATGTCAAAAGACACTCTGAATATTGCACTAGAGCGCCAAGAAGTCAAAGCAGAAAGAAGAAATCAAGACATTAAGGAGCTGAACAGAAGATTTCAAAGGGCGGAGCGGCAAGACAAAGTAAAGTATTATAATGCAGTGTGCAAAGAGCTGCAGTCAGAAAATCAAAGGGGCTGAACTCGCTCAGCATTTAAGCTCACGGAACTGAAGAAGAAATTCAAAACCTCGATTTTAATACTTAAGGATGCTTTGAGCAGAATATTAAATGATCCAGGAAATATTAAAAGAAGATAAAAAGAGTATACAGAGTCATTGTACCAAAAGCAATTGGCAGACACAGAAGAATTTAATGAAACAACATATGAGCGAGAGCCTATGGTGATGAAGGAAGAAGTTCAGACTGCTTTGAACGAATTGGCTAAGAATAAGGCCCCAGGTATTGATGGTAAACCAATTAACATATTTCAACTAACAGATACTGCCCTAGATGTGCTCACCAACTTGTGCCAAGAAATCTGGAGAACAACCACTTGGCCAACTGACTGGAAGAGATCTATATTTGTTACCATTCCAAAGAAAGGTGATCCAACAGAGTATGGAAATTGTGGAGCAATAGCACTGATAATCACATGCAAGCAAGATTCTGCTGAAGATTATCCAGAAACGACTGGAACAGCACACCAACAGAGAACTTCCAGAAGAGCGGGCTGGGTTTAGAAGCGGTCATGGTACTAGGGATATTGTAGCTAATGTG